ATGATAGTGGTTAAAAGAAAACACAATTTTTTTACTGCAATGATGGTATGATGGGGTAAAATGATGGTGGAAAAGAACTGGTGTTTCCAGTGCTCGCCTTGAAACAAAACCTGAGGAGTGAGCTTCTATTTTTAAACGCGAAGTGTGTATATTAACATGATTGATGTCTAGCGACACTTGATGCACAAAAATTTAACTGGGCATGAACTGCAATGATGTGATTTAGTTTATTATCGCATTCAGGCTGAACACTGACCCTCCAAAGACTTTGCAACATAAAAGACTGAAATGCATTTAATGAGGGGTGGGTGATATGGCAAAACATCACAATATGTGTATTTCCATTTTTGTCATTTTTCAGTTTTTGACATAACTTGAAAGTATCTGTGGTGTAAATTTCATGATGAATGGACAAACAGAAATGACCCAAAATTACTTGGAAAAAACTCCATTGACTTCCATTGACTTCCATTAAAAGTAGAGTATGTTTTTTCCTTCTCCTGTAAAGTTACCATTTTGGAGATACAAGTTTTTGATCCGACAACAGCGATATTCATGATATTTGACATTTTTTGAGATTTGATATGCTGAAACAGACTAAGGACTAGTAGTGCCAAATTTAACTATGAATACAATTATTTTTATTTAATTTTTCACACATTCTTTTGAAAAAATCCAATGAAACAGGATTTATTATTTTATTATCCACAGAAAAGCCTATTGCAGGATGACATGACGTGATTTATCACAGTAACATTAAATATTGTCATATTGCCCACGCCTACGCCTGATGTAAACAACGTTATGGTCTCATTTGTCTGAAGTTGTTCCTGATTGCCTAGTTATGCTCTATGACTGTTAATATATATATATATATATATATATGTATGTACAGAACCTCATATCTCCAAAATGTTAACTTTACAGGAGAAGGAAAAAACATACTTTATTTTAATGTAAGTCAATGAAACCAGACTTCTTTCCAAGTCATTGTGGGTCATTTCTTTTACTCCATTCATCGAGAAATTTACATACAATGTAAAGACATTTTCAAATTATGTCAAAAACTGAAAATTGAGATACAATGTTTTCTTCCAACAACAGCAATATATATAAAATCCAACTATCCATCTGCCTCCTAATCAAACTGTAGAAGCAACACTATAACGATAGACATTTCTGTTATAGTAAAGCCAATGAGTGCCACAGTAAAGCCAATCAGAAACTCTCATTTGACAAATTAATGCCGTCATTTTGTGTTCGGCATGTTTGGGGAAAATTCCAGCCTTCGTGTTATGTCTGGATCTGGCCCAGAGATCCCTTTAGTAAGGGTGGAATCTGATTGGCTACAGAAAACTCACCTGGAAAATGTTTGAGTGACAGCCCTGTGCTCGGACTGTTGGCTTTGGCTGAGGACTGTGCATGTGACAGGCTTCTACGTGTATGTGTATTTACACTGTGAGTACACATTAGTGACTGAGTGACCAAGAAGGAAGAGAGGGAGATTTTAGATTGTGCTAAGTTCTTCTTTATTGATCCTATATAGGATTTTTTTTCTGTGACCACTCAGGGACCAGCTGGAGAGTGCTGTCTGGGAGTGTCCTGCTTTTTGGGGACAATCAGGAGCATCTAGTCAGTCCTGGGATTTAAGCCCAAGACCTTCTGTTTGCCTCCCCTAGTACTTGGCTACCAGCCACCCCAACTTAGCCAAGATGTTTTGGTTTCTGTAGTTTTTTCTTTGAGATTAGCACTAGAGCTATGAAGCTAACTTAGCTAATGAGTGATGGAAGCTGGTAGTGACCTGTAAGCATTGTGCAAACTGTATAAACCACACTTGTTTATGCTATTCGTCAAATAATGTAGTATCCTGTAGTGCAGCATAGGATCCTTCAGCCTCATCGGTTTCACAGGCTTCTTAGCAGTAATATTAGCTTCCTTTTGCATTAGCCAGTTAGCAGAAAAGATTATCTCACTCTAGAGACTCCTGAGGCACCACTGTAGGTAGCAAGTACGCATCTAAACATCTGTTTTAAAATTTAAACCTTTCATTTTGGCAAAAGCGCCCCTTTAAGTAACCTCAAATATTCTTTTTCTGTGGTTTCACACACTGTATAGCACATTGTTGTCTATAGTAGTAAGTTGCTTGACTAAAACATTAGCTGCAGCCAACTTGAAGCCTGGATTTTGTCCATATATTTCTCCTTTTAAAGATGGTGGTATGTCATATGGGGTGAGAATGCACATTAAGTTGAGACTCCTTGTCATTTAAGCAGAATTTGAGGCAAATATGCTGATGATTGGACTAATTTAGGCTGGTTGCACACTGAACTCATGGCTATAAGCTTCTATTATTAGCTACATTAACCTACTTTGGTGCAAAACTAAAGAAGCCCATTTCAGACATGTCTTAGCTGATCGACTACATTTGGGGTGAAGGGAAACTGAGTAAATTTGATTTTTGGATGAAGCTTTCCGAGGGTCATCCAAAGCTGTTCCGTAGCAATAGCACTGTGTACGAGAAGGCAGGGCACACTACAATAAATGCTGGAGTAATTACGGCACAACTGAGTGAACAATCCTTTTTTCCATCCTTATCTAAACAATATTTTGTAGATTTTTACAGCCTTCTGTGTCAGATAAGTGAGGCACTTCATTCAGCTCTAGCCATAGTGAAATGGAAGATAATGTTTATGGCTAATGTTACATAATGGAAGCATGTGTAAGGACAGCGGTAATAAACCTTAAACAGGTTCCTGAGAGACACCATACGGCACAGTGAGTTTGCATGCACACGACCAACCAAACGAGTGAAAACGAGTTTATCCGCTCTGTTAATTGGAGCATTAAAGTTGTGACTTTGCAGTGGCGTGCTCGCATGTGGGGGGACAGGAGGTGGACGCTCTCGTGGCTCTCTGCTTTACAGGGACATCTGCTTGAGCTCCTCTACAGGAGACCGATGGGAAAGGCTCTGAATAAAAAACTCAGAAGTGGAAAGTGGCACAAATAAAAATAGGATCCGCGTCCCGTCCGCTCCAGAGGTTTTGGAAGCCTGAGAGGAAACTTAGCTGGCAGCCTCTCGCGGCCGAGAAAGGCCTACATTTGACGATTAGACGAATATGATGCTAACTAGAGACGTCTGCACCAAAGATTTCATGCCTTATAGGCAACATGTGGGCCACATGTTCTACATTTACACGCTTCCAAACCAAGTCAATGCCCTCTCTGTCACAAACCCAGATTGAACATTAGCAGGCTTTTGGGCCTAACTGAGCTCGCAAGGTGGTAAACAAGTTAAAATTTTACTTACAAGCTCATAAATTAATAAAAATGAGGTGATATTATGATGCAATATGCCACATCTACTTAATAGCAACAGTAAAAGTAACTGATTTTTGCCTTAAATGGCAGTGCTTTTGGTCACTCTCCCTTTTTTAGACTCTTAAATCACGAGAGGGGCTCTGACATTCTGCTTTTTTGCACCTACAGTAGGTGAGTGGCTGATGATACGTCTCCAAACCACCCAAGTCAAGTGTTGCAGTCAAAATAAAACGATGCAAGCAGCGTGCCTTTGCACAATAGCAACCACAAGAAACACTGCTGCTGGTTAGCGGTTGGTACCTCTGACGGCTTGAGAGGGGAAATCTCATTTGCATCTTTCTTTTTCAACTTCTCAGATGACCAAAACCAAAAGACATATTTGAGTGTTGAGAGCACTACTGAAGAATAACTCCAGGAAAAGTTAATGTCATGCATTGAAATAGTACACACACACACACACAGACACACACACACACACACACACACACACACACACACATATGTATGTATGTATCTATCTCTACCTACCTATATGGGATTTTTTTAAGTATAACTTTAAACATAACCCTAACCTTAATCTCAGTAACCAATAAAGAAATTGTTTTATCCATTGTTACAATGTTACAAAAATTATGTAATATATTTTAGCATTTATCATATTATATAATGCAAATTTATATGACGTTAAATGTATATACTGTAATTTTACATTCTGCATTTTAAACACACACGTGTGTTTGTATATGAGTGTGAATATATGTATATATATATATATATATATATATATATATATACACACATATGCAAATGTATATATTATATCATGTCCTCGCTACAAAAATATATGCAAACTGTGATTTTTCCATTTATGCTTTTATTCAAATATATATATATATATACATGTTTATATATATGTGTGTGTGTGTATATATATATATATATATATATATATATATATATATATATATATATATATATACTTATTTATTTATGTGTGTATGTGTGTGTGAAGTAAAGTCACAGTTTGCATGTAATACAGTGTCTGGGATTTTGGATTATTGATGTTTTTTTTTATTTTTAATTTTGTATTTTTTAGTTATTTACCACTTTTTTATGCTTCTTATCACGCCTGTTCAGGTTACCAAAAATGCTGAAATTTCCCCAAAGCGTCCCTTCACATCGGGCACGCGCTGGAGGTCTGTTGTGCACTGGCCTCCTGTCTGCTGGTGTGATTCGGTTCTGCGGGACAGCACCACTGAATCAAGATAGAAAACCTCTACGTCATGGAAACAATGACGTCAGGTTTAATTAGCCGCTGGGGGAAGACTCGTCCCAGACTTGTGGGCGGGGTTTCGACAACAGACCCGCCGCTGCTGATCTTGCAGGCTTTATCCGTGGTGGAGAAGAGGGTATCTTCTGTTTTCATCCCCCGACCAAAGTCAAGTTTCTTTAAAAAATAAAAATAAATAAACTGTTATTAATGCAGGCGAATAAGAAAAGTGCGAAAGCTGAGCGATTAAAAAAATAATAATAAAAAAAAGACGCTTTGGTGAAACGGCCGGTGACGCAACCGTTTCCAGCGGCGACTGATATCCCGGCTGAGCCAATGGGAGTGCTCGCATTAACATCTCCGCCCCGCCCACCTGACGCCAATCACATGTCCCAAAGCGACGTTGGGGAGAGGGGCGGGATTTCGCCGCAGATTGGAGGAGGGAGGCAGTCGGCGGAGGGAGAGCGAGCGAGTGAGAGGGAGAGAGAGTCCGAGGAGAGTGAGGGAGACCTCCGAGACGCTGTTCTCCGTGCACGGTGAGTTCTCTCCTTTGTTTTAAATAAACCCCCCTGGCGCTTCGGTGCAGCGGTACCGGCAGCCGGACTTTTCTGGACGCTAACATCAGCCGTCCGACCGTCCGTCCCTCTCAACGGTCCGGTTTCGCCTTCTCCAACATTAGCTGCGAGGCTGAAGTGAGTCGGCTTCCTATTCACCAGCTTCTCGTTCGAATTTCCCCGTTCCACCTTAAATGCTGCCGCAGTTAGGCTCAGTTCTGAGGCGCTAGAATGTAACTGCTGCACCATTTAAGGTGGAACGGTGAAATTCGAACAAGAAGCTGGCGAATAAACAAGAAGCTGGACTTCAGCCGCGTACATTAGCTAGCCAAATTGGCTAGCTGGGTTACTATGGCTAGCTAGTTTGGGCGACAAGGCAGCCAGAAAGACGGGTCTGCCTTAAAACTGGTCTGGGAAGGGGTTGTCGGGTGGCTGAAGGCGAAAACACGAAGTGTTAGGTCGGCTCGGAGGCTCCGAAGGTGTCCGAATGGAGTGAGTGCAGTGACCGTTGGCCGTTCGGAAAGTTGTCCGTTGGAATACGAAATAAACAAATGTGTTCGTAGCGCCTCACTGACAAGGAATAGGTGGAAGAGAGAAGAAGAACGAGGGCTGATCTGGTTCTTCTGGGAGTCCCCCCTTCAAAATCGATGTGGAGGGGATCCAGCCAGCTAACTAAGGCGCGTTTAACGCACATATGTAACGTTATCTAGCGAGGTCGGTGCCCGTGCTGGGGACAGATAATGTAGCGTTACTTCTGGCCAGCAAAAATAACGCAGAAATCTCCGAAAGTGCAAACGAGCTCAGCTCAGCCTCAGAACAGGATCTGTCATTTTGACAAGAGAGAAGAAACCCAGGTTAGCTAGCTAACCAGAAACAGCTTGTGCTGGCAACGATACGTTACCGATGGCAAACGAACTCATTTAGCAGGTGTTACCACTCTCTAAAGGGGAACTCCACCTATTTTCCAAAATTTCTGCATAATTAAGCGGTTGACATGTGAGCACAGTCATTCAGAGTGGTTTGGTGTGGAAAGCTCCGTGGTAGAGAAACTTAACCGAGGCAGAATTGCTCACAGTGGTGGTGATAGGAACCAGACGTCCACCTCTAAAAGCTCCCTCACAGAAAGTTACTACATGCAATGCTTATGAATACACTGCCTGATGTCTGAGACACTGGTTTAGTAAAGTTTTAAGGTAAGGATTTGGCCTAAAGCGTATATTTTTGAAAGCTGTTCATGGCGGAGGGGTACGTGCAGGGTGCTGTGAGGCAAAATAGTCCCCAGAGAATGCATATTTTTCATATTTTCCTCTATTTACTACCATTTCTAAGATTGCATGTAAATAGACAAAATCAGAAGGCAGGTGTAGGTTCGCTGGAAATTTTGGATAGTAAATAAAATGGCTATATTTGTGCTGTAGACACTGCGACTCCTGGTTCCTATTGCCACCACTGTAAGGAAATCTGAGTCGGGAAGTTTCTCTACAATGAACCTCTTCACACCAGACCACTCTGACTACATCCCAAGCACTGAATTTTGAAAAAGCGGTGGAGTTCTCCTTTAAATAAGGAAGGTTTAGCTAGCCACACACATGCCTGATATTAACTGTGCCTGCTGTCTCTTCAGGCTCTCGGTTGTTTTGCTGGGCATTCAAGCTGCAGGAAAAAAAACCCTTTGTAGATTTGCTTTGTGATGTGCTCTTATCAGACCTGTCTTGTGGCATTAACACGATAATGTGTGTGTGTGTGCAGCGGTGGGACGTTTACTACGCTGACAAATATTAGCAAAGATGCCTGACCTGTCAAAAACCAGGTGCTGTTTAATCCGGTCACAATACAAACTGTACAAAGCCGCCGTTTCGTACTCTTGTCTGTGGTGAGATTTCCTCGCCTGGCCGACTGGAGCAAGACAACGTTATTTTCACCTCGTTCTCTCTTGCTTCTTGTGGACGTTTGTGGAAACGCTGCTGAGTTCCCTTACTGAGAGGGACAGCTGATGGTGCACAGTGATTTGACACACTGCAATAATGACGTGTCTGGTCTCTGACTGTGAAACGATGGTAGTTTGGTGCCAACCAAGTCCTCACTCAGCTGTGCTGAGCATTATACAGAAAGGCTGTATGAAGGCGTGTTAAAGGAGAATTCCAGTTTTTTTTCTAAATGTCTGCATAATTCAGTGGTTGTGATATAAGCTGAGCCATTTAGAGTGATCGATCTGAAATTGCTCCGTAGAGAAACTTGCCGGCTCAGATTTCTTCACAGTGGTGGTGATAGGAACCAGGGGTCGCCGTGTCTACAACACAAATATAGCCATTTTATTTACTGTCGGAAACCACCAGTGAACCTACACGTGTCATTTAAAGTTTTTATATGTAGTGATGACAGTGAAATAGTGGTTAATTGGGGCAGGGGGAATTTCTTTGGGGATTGTTTTGCCTTGGAACACCCCACATATATCCCTCCGCCATGAATAGATTAAAATAAACTGATTTAAAATTGGCCAAAATTGAGGCCAAAACCATTGCATGTAGGAACTTTCTGTGAGTGAGCTTTTAAAGGTGGATGTCTGGTTCCTGTCACACCCACTGTGAACGTTTTTGACTCTGAAGTGTCTCTAGAACGGAGCATTTCACACCAAACCACTGTGAATGACTTTGTTTACATCGTAACCATTAAATTGTGTAGAAATTTTGAAAAGTTGGTGGAGTTCCCCTCTTTGGAGTCCACGCCTGTGCTTGCCTTGTTCTTTGCCCTGTTGCTTGGTCTGCACAAGCTTTGCAAACAGTTCAGTTTCGGCGTTGTATGGAAGGAAAGCAGTCTGACCTTGAGTGTACATTTTATTAGTAACTTAAAATGTATGTATATAACCGTATATATGTGTGTGTGCATCTGTACCAAACTGGCCGCCGATTGCCTACAGTTGCTGTGATGTCTATATCCGTCCATATCGTCACTGAAACTATTGAAACTATGTGTTATGTATGCACTGCCACTTTGCATGTTTGATACCAGCTATTACATTATTGATTACTGAGTCAACTGTCAGTAATCAGGTTTCTAATTATGTATAGATTTTTGGCTGGTTTGATATATAATCTAATATTTGACATTATACCAACTGCTGCTTCCCTATGTTACAACCGGGTTACCAAACTCTGGCCCTAGAATTGCACAGCATTGTTTAGTAATCACTGCTACACTAATACACCTGATTTGGCTTGTGAAAAATGTGATTAGCTTATTACTTAAATTAGTGCTTGGATGCAGGAGAAGCGGTGCAGCGCTGTAGATCTGCAGGAGTTTTACTCCCCTGGATAAACATGTGGAGCACAGTCGTTGTTGATTAGGTACATAAGTAAGCCATAGATACAGCTAAGCATTTAGTTTTTATTTTTTTATTTTCTTATTTACATAATGAGTTAAATCAGTTTGATGTTGTTCATTTCATGAAGCAGCTTCTCCTGATTTTAGTATGGCTAAGCCTGAAATCCTAGTGTTTACACTTAAGCTACAATCTTAAAGATACCTATTCAAGCGTTCTTTAGTAAAGGGAATGGTTCTATTTAGAATCATGAGCTCTGTACAGAACCATTTTGTGCGTAAATGGTTCTTTGCCTGGTGAGCATGGTTCTCGAAATCAATGGAGAATATGTTGTATACGGTTATGTTTTTGTAAATGGTTCTATGTAGCACAAAAAAAGGTTCTGTTACTGTTACGATGTCAAGCTTGTATACAATAGATGAACCCTTTTGGTGCTGCTTAGAACCATTTACATACGATAGTCTTGTGACCTTGTGGCCTAAAACGTATTTTAATCTATTCATGCTGGAGGGATACAAGTGGGGTGTTCTAAGGCAGAACAATCCCCAAAGACACCCACATATAGGTTCACTGGTGGTTTTGGATAGTAAATGAAATGGCTATATTTGTGCTGTATTCATGCCGACTCCTGGTTCCTATCACCACCACTGTATAGGAATGAGTTGCCAAGTTTCTATACAGAACCATTTGCAGCACATTTTCCATGCAAAGAACCTTTTAAGCATGAAATGGTTTTATATAGAACGTATAAAGAGTGCAGTGGTTTGGTTAAAACAGCAAATCTAATCTACACAGATTTGCACTGGTGCAACAAAGTTGATGTTGCTAAAATGTATGTCAACCGAAATACTTTTGCACAGACGTCTATTACATTAGTCTCATAGCTCTAGTGCAAAACAAAACCAGCAAACTTCGGACACTTATTGCATTTGGGGACGGGGGAAATTGTGCAAGTTGGAGTTTTGTTTATTGACCCATTCCTTTTAAGTGTAATGATTCAGGCTGCCTATAAAATACACTAACCTTTGACTGTGTCAAAGCAGATACGGAGGCCTTTGGACTGTTACTGTTGTAGAAATTGTGCTTCTGGTTTAGGGCTTTGGCCTCATTATATTATTTAAGAGAACCTAAGAAGAGAGATTTTGCGTAGGAAACTGCGGTAGTTAGTTATACAGATACAGATTAATGTTATGCAGCCTTGAGTTCTCCAATCAGCTTGTGTACAGTAAGCAGTTCCACTTCTCCTTTATTTCCTCGGTATTTCCTCGGACCTAATTATCGCGTTTTTCCTCTTTGACCTGAACTTCTGAATGGAAGACTTGAAGCACAGTAGAGTGCATTACAGCCTAATTAGTTTGGTTAACCTAATCTGACGTACACTAAGCTGGAAGCTATAGAGTTTCAGCTCGTTTTCCATGCAGATTACCCTGGACGTTTGTACTTAAGACCTGTGCTAGTGTTAAATTTATATCATGTTCTAATTGTAAATATGATGTGCTCTCACAGACCGGTCCCCACGGTGTGTTATCTTATTACTTCGTTTTTCTCTTTTAAACAAAGGTCATAAGGTTTATGCTGGAGTATGTAAGGACAGTAGTAACAGTGATCTCTGAATCTGATCTTATGGGGTGCATTTTATACCAGACAACAGCTATTGGATAGT